GAGCTTGCGCCCTCCACAACTAAGAATGAAGGATGACAACTTGGAGCTGATGGATCCTGGAAAAACCGTTCCCCTTCCCAGTTCCCCAATAAAAGTCTTTAAAAACAAAACAAAAAAATTTTCTGAAATAATGCCTAGCATATAGTAAGCCATGTGTCAGCTGTTATTGAAGGCCCTGGGAATCCTGTACTGCTCACAGATCTTGCTGTCTGAACACTGGAGGGATAGGTAGTCTGGGGAAGCTGATAAAGATTTAGTGTCTGGAAGGGCACCATATAATACACTGAAGGATCCTGTTTTGACTCTGCCCTAGCCTTAAGGGTCCAAGAGGAACCTATCTCCCCCTGTCCACATACTACATCCCCTCAGGACAATGATATGAATGAGGGCCAAAAAAGGACTACCTTCAAGGCTGGAACCCAGGTAAGTTGAGAAACAATGTTCAGCTCTCTTATTTTGATACCAAAAGCCCTACCCTACAAACACCAGCCCTGTGTTTGTCTCCTCCTCCCTGCTTTTAGTTACAAAAGTACAGAACTGCTAATTCTAATCTTTTAGAGCCAGTACCAGGCTTTAATCAAAAGCCAAGCTTCAGGATCTCATGCAGCCTTCCTAGTAGTATAAAGGGTAAATGCCCAAGCAATCAGTCATTGGGACCTTAACCTACAAGGCAGCCCATAACAAACTGAAGTGCCCTAGCCAACACTATAGCAGGTCTTGTTTTTCCGAGATGTAGTGAAACAAAATGGTTAACACCTTGGTTCAGTGTCTCCTTGCACTTCTCTATAATTTTCTGATTGACACAGCTCTCACTCTTCATTTTCCCCTAAGGAAGGAAAGCAGAATAAATCAAAGACTAATGCCACCTAAAATGAAGAAACAAGGTCTCAGTTCGTTTAATAGAAACTACAAAAGATCAAAAGTGATGCCCCACTACTGTACACATCAGTTGGTCTACCTCATAGCAAAGTTCAGGCCTTTTCTTCCAGAAGAATAAAGGCCTGTCCTATCCCACACCACATCTGGGCTAAATCTAAGGACTTGTGTTTTAAGTATGACAATAGTACAAAAGAGGTTTTGTTCTCAGGGCTATCTGCTAGCCCAGCACTCATTTCTGCTTAGAGAAATATTCTTTGCTCTTCTGGACATCAGGCTTGATGGTATCACTGCCAGGCTTCCAACCAGCTGGGCACACTGCAAAAGAAAGGTACCACTAATTAAATACTTGCTGCTCAGTGGTGAGCTCCACCCTCTTCCCAAGGACAAATGGACGCCTCAAAACCAAACCTGAGCCCTAAAGAGCCTGAACACTTAAGCACTAGGAATCCTAACCTACAGTATGTCTAAAATCATTCAGGCTTTTAGTGCAAGGATAACCAACATGTAATTTAATCCTCACCACAGCCCTAATACTATTATATCTAATTTATTCATGCAGAAGCAAAAATTTAAAGAAATTAAGCAACAGCTTCAACTGTATG